TACAGGGTCTCTATGAGTCCGAACTGACTCAATGGCACTTAACAACAGCAACAACACAATTTTTTCCATCCTTCTTTACTTTCATCCACCCATCCATCTACTTTTTTCCTTCCTTTCATCCATCCATCCATCCATCCATCCATCCATCCATCCATCCATCCTATTCTCCACTTGATAGTGATGGAAGTTGAATTTGAACCCAGATCCACACAGCTCCATTCATGAAAAAAAACAAAAAACTAAAAACATGAGGACATTACACCTATACACACACTTCCCCACCCACCCACCCCCACTTAGACTCTGTTGGAAATGCGCATAGTTTCTCTTATTCATCCTTTGATTTATCAGTCTTTCTAGCTATATCAATATCCAGTTGTAGGCAAGATTCGTATTTTGATGGTTGGATTAGATAAACTAAAATTTCTTTCTAATTCATAGTTTCTAAGAGCTCTATGCTACCTTAAAATATATTTTTAAAAATTTTTTGTGACAGGCAGCTGATCTTTCAAATTAAGTTGTGTTGGACTTAAAGCTCACCATGTCCAGAGCTCTTCCAGGAGATCATTTGCTTCAGTGTCATTCTGAACTCTGGGTACTTGATGAGGAGTAATAAAGACAATGATTCAGCTAGGTAATGAGCAAGGGGCAGTGATGGCTGAGAATTAGAATGTCACTTGAATTAGATTGTCACTTGTTTTTACCTCACTTGCAAGTCAAGAGTTGATGATGATTAAGCTAATGATGATGATGATGATGATGGTTCTTTCCTTTCATCCATTCTTCATAAGGCCTTTATATCAGCAGGGGCTGGAAGAATTCATCCAGTATACCTTTTTGTCTTCTTATAGCTCATGTCAGATTCACTTCAGATAGATTCTTATTCTATTCTCTCCTTTTGTAATTCATGCTCATTTTTCCTCCAGTTAAAAAAATAAAATAAAAAAATGAGAACATAGAACAGCATATTCTTCTCTGAACCACACAGCAAAGAAAGAAAAAAATATTATAACTTAATTAAAGTAATTAAATTATTTGGTCATGGGCAGATAGAGAATCATAATAGAGGGGAAACTGGGCTTAGGAGTGCAGAATCGGCAAACAGACTCCAACAAGACATCAATACCATATTCACACTGATCCTTCTTTTCAAATTCCAGGAAACATGGTGTGGGTGAAGTTGAGTCACCTAGAGGGTGTGCCAAAGCCTAGGTGTTACTTTGGACTTCTTTTTACAACAAGAATTTCATTTCCTCTTAGAGCTGAGCTGAGTGATCAATTCATTTGCAACCCTCTCAACATACCTCCCTTGAGAAAAGATAATACTATCATGTAGTGAGTATCAGGCACTGAGATTTATATACTTTATATCACTTCTTCATTGCAGAAATCTTATAAAGGGGGTATTAGTATCCTCATTTTACAGATAAAAAACTGAAGTCCAGAAAAATGGCATTCCATGGGTTAGCCAACTGGTAAATGATGGGGATTAAATTGAAACCCAGATTTACATGACTCCATGATCACTCACATTCATGAGAGAAAAAATCATGGTGGCATTATGTCTGCATACCCCTTAGATTGTGATTGAAATGAATGTGGGTTCTACTGTCCATCCCATTGGTCCTCAACTCTTCTAGTTTATAAACTCACAGCTTCATATTCTGAAAATCATCTTTCTCTGCCTCCACATAGGATCAAGGATCAAGGGATGGATTGGTTAATGTCACACACTCCAACTCTTCAGTCTTACCTCCAGCTCTAACCACAACATCAAATAGGACCACTTCTCCAGTTCTTCCTGCCATGGAATAAACATCATCTTTTGTACACTTGCCCACCTCTCAGGTTGCATGGTGGTCTCTGCCAGCCCACACTTCCCACCATTGAAGAAGGCTGATTGGACCTGTCTCAGCCTCTGTATAGGAAAGCACAGTCTGAATTGTTGTTGTTAAGTGCCACTGAGCCCATGCCCAGAAATGCCAGGACTCAGCCATTTCTTATTGTTGTTAAGTACCACGAGTTGGTCCCGACTCATAGCGATCCTGTATAGGGTTTCCGAGGAGCAGCTGGTGAGTTTGAGCCGCTGACCCTGAAGTACTAAACTCCCAGGGTAGCATGTGAGTAGTGACTCAGAGGAGCAGCTGTCAACAAATCTGAGTGCACAGACCCCACTGTGTCAGGCTGGAGAGAGGCCAGCTCCCATCTTTGGCAGATGTTTTATGCCCAATGGCAGCAAGACTGTGGCAGGTTATAGAAGAAACCTGAGGACACAGCACAGTAGAATCATCTCTTTGGTTTTTAAAATTAAATGAGTAGCTTTCACGTACATCCATTCAAAATCCTTCAAGAAGGGTTCATATCAACCCTGACCCTACTCTCATCTACCACCGATCTGTTTTAAGCTGAATGAAAGTCAGTCATATGTGGATTCCAGAGGATAGATAAAATTACCTCAGATGAGTCTAGCTTTACCCTCAGGTAGTTAGTTATATGTCCACCTGGGTCCCCCTTACCCATTTTCCAAATGAGGACAAGTGGACATGGATTTATTATTATTATATCATTGAATCTCAAAGAGCATCCTAAGAGCAGAACATGCTCCTTGACTGGAAGATAAGGACATGGAGGAAACATGGTATCTTTAAATAACAAGGACAGAGAGTGTCTCAGACCAGAATTGGGAAAATGGGCAGAGTGAGAAGATATAGATTGGATGTAGTTTGATCAGGGAGTGAGAGTTTGACTGGAGGTACTCCTGTCCAGGAGTCCGTAGGTGGTACAAATGGTTAGTGCTTGGCTGCTGACCAGTCTGGAGGTTCAAGTCCACCCAGGGATGCCTCAGAAGAAAGGCCTGAAAATCTTCTTCTGGGAAATTAGCCACTGAAAACTCTATGGAGCACAATTGTATTCTGACACACATGGAATCGCCATGGGTCGGAATTGTCTTGACAGCAATTGGTTGGTTAATTCAGTCCCAACGTGGACCTAGTGTACTTTCAGGGTCTCAGATTTCTAGCATGTCTTACTTTATAGTTAGTCTCAAGGTTTCTCTACTAATTAGGGAATTAATAACTAAGGAATAAAGTGATGGTACCTTAGGTAGTATCTTGAAACTCAAACAAATACACCATGTTGAAAGAGTCCTCCAGAAGGGTAACTTCTCTGTTTAGACTGTCTTTATAAAGATCATTTGGTCAGCTGTGGACATCTTGTCACCTGTGAGAGACCAGATCCTCCCCTACAGACCAGGAACAAGGCACTGGGCTTTGGGGTGTGAGTGTGTGAAAGAGTGTACATAGAAACTGGCACAGCCACACCTCACATACCATAGCAAGGTGGAGCCATTCCCTGTCCTTGCTGTAACCTGCTCATCATTCTCAGATATATGGCGTGTTGATGGTGCTGGGTCCCTAAGGACATGGCCCAGTAATGCTCAGTAGGCCTAAAGGACATCTTTCCAACAACTGCTCCCTTTATCTGACCCTCACATCTAGAAATTCTGGACTCCAGGCCACAACCATAAATAAGACTTATTTCCTCAGGGGAAGCTGGGATCCTGCCTAGCCATGTCTGATCCTCAAGCCTGTATCTACAAGCCCACACCTCCTACCCATACTACCTATTTTTGGCATTTTATCAAGTTGTATACAACTTAAGGAACTTGTGGGGGGAGGGGCAGGGAGGTCAGGGGCATTCTTGTCAATATTACTAAACTACTACTTTCCAAAGACTGAATTAAAAACACAACACTAAGTATGGTTCTGAATATTTATTTTCTGATTCTTCAGAAAACACATCAGGATCTTGGCAGGCTGTAAGTCTGAGTCTTTGATAATGGCTAGTGATCCTTAGGGTTCTGTGTAGAACTATAAAAACACTGGTTGAGGAGACACAGTCAGCACAGTGAGTGCCATTAGGAGTCAAGGTTCAAGCCCCAGCTCTGATACTGAATGACAGAGTCACCAGACATGAGTCACTTCCCTTCTCCAACAGGGTTGGATAGGCATGTCTCTAAGGTTCTCTCTGCTCTGAGAGTTGATGAATAACCAGCAGAAAATGTATGGTGTTTATTTTCTACTATAGGGGCTGGGGAAATTAAAAAACCTCCTGTAATAAAGTAAGGAAGGCCTGAGGCAGTGTTTTAGGATTGGGACTCCCATCTCACGGTTGGCCCAGCCTAGGGGTCAGTTATGTGCAGACTGAGCCGGAAGACTGGGAGTCAGGGACCACAGTACCTTTTATTTTGGAATTCATCCAGCCCATGGTCAAGGACTCTCTGAGTGGAGGTGGTGGTGTGTGCATGGAGACACTTTCCCGCCTTCTCAGACCAACAAGCACTGCTCTGCTATCAGCTGAGGGGTTTTGTTAAGAACGCGGGTTGTCCTTGGTACTAGAGATAGTGAGACAGCAGTGATAACAAGCCAACCTGGCTTGTCCCAGACTCCTGTCCAGAATCCCTGCCATGGAAGCGCATGGCAGGTATTCGGGGAGTCCCTCATTTCCTGCAGCTCTCCATTTGCCTAACTGCTTGTCTCACATCACTGACACATCAATTGCCTCATTTGATTGTTCTCCTCAGATTTAGCGGCCCCTCCTCACTCACTTCAGGCTAGAATGAAGTTGACCCAAAGTAAGAAAATCTCCTGTAAGAGCAGAATTCTGAGCAAGAACTCTGTTACATAAATAGCATCAGGGAAATATATAGGCATAAGATCCACACACGCACATGCGCACACACGCGCATTCGCAAACTCACGCACCTCTTGTGGAACGCATTGTTAGGATGCGTCCATGAGGGTACTCGAGTATTGGGACAACTTCTCTGAATTTAAACACATGCTTGACTCAAATCTCTGTCCTTCACCTCACAGAGATAAAAAAAAACATCTGAGAGAAGTCCATTCTTGCCCAACCTCTGAGCTGGGACATGCTCCTGAGCGGAGCTCGAAGTCTCTTGTGCAGCAGTGGGTACGCTTGGTACTTCTGATGACCAGGGTCTACTCCTTCAACAACCCCAGCTTCTTCAGAGCCTCCCTTCTGTGCTCATCTGGGACGCCCTTTGGGGAGATCTTGACACTGACACAGGGGGGTCGAGGCAGTTTGTCACGGCTCTGTCCTGAGAAGGAAAAACGCTTGGAGTTCTGTTCTTGCTCCTGATCAGCCAGCTTACCCACTTGGATACCTGCAAAATCCTTCCCTGTGCCCAAGGAGGCAGGGCGGGGCCGGGAATTACGCAAGATGCTGGGTGAGATCTTGTCCAAGAAGGAGCCCTTTTCCAGAGATGAGCTGGTTTTGGGACTGAGGTCTTTCTCGGCTGAGAGGTAGCTGCTCAGCCCTACGCCTGAACGCTCCAGAGTTTTGGACTTGAAGCTCATCTGTCTCAGGCCAGGAATGTGGCTGTCCTGGAGGGTCAGCCCTGTGTCAGGCTTCGGCAGACTCAGGGGACTATTCGCCCTTGTGGCTGCAGGGATGGGAATTGGCATGGATTTGGCAGCTGCAGTCTTTCCTGGAGATGGTTCCTGGGTAGGAATTGAAACTTTCCCTGGAGAAGACCCCTGAGCTACAGCTAAAGTTGGAGCCTTCATGGGAAAAGGTCCTTGAGCTGGAGCCAGAGCTTTCATTGGAGAAGGCCCTCGAACTAGAGGGGGAGTCAGAGCTGGAGCCTTTCCTGAAGCAGGGACAGCTGTGGAGATCTGGGTGGGCGCTGGAGCTGGCGCCAGGGCAGTGGCACGGGCAGGAGACTCCTTGAGTCTGAGCGAGCTGGTGGGCTTACTTAAGTGGAGGCTGGTCTCATCTTGGTCCTGGGGTAGCCCCAGCTTCTCCAGGGCTTGTCTGCGTGCTTTCCTCTGCTCCTGCACTGAAGCAGGGAGCAGACCAGAATCTCCAGGGGCCACCTCAGAGTGACGGGACAGCCAGTTTTGTGGATCACTGTGGAAGCTGCTTCGGCTGCTCTTCAGCACAATATTAGGTGGCAGCTTCCGGGGCTTAGGGGCTGTGAGGGGTACCAGAGGGGCATTTGGCTCTCCCGCAGATGCGAGAGGAGCTTCTTCAGCTCTAGCATTCTGAGATGGCAAGGCAGAGCAAGGCTGGGGTTGTCCTGGGCCACCTGCTGAGCCGTTCTTATTGGCTTTTTGGGACATGGTCTCTGAAGAAGGCTCGACTCTCTTCTGGGGACTGGAGGACGTGTGGAACTTGGGTGTGCTGCTCAACTGCCCTGGCCCCTCAGGAAGGCTGTCTTCTCCACACCCCTTGAACTGAGTATCCCGGAAGGCCTCTGGTGGGGGGATGAGCACCACGTCCAAATTGAGTGTAGCCTCCCGGGCACTGGTGGGTACCTGGATGGGCTCACCCTTGCTCTCAGGTTCTGGTATGAGCCCCTCAGACTCTCCAGGGATGTGGCTTTTGGCCTGGGCAGTGCTTTTCGTGGACGCCTGCTTTCTGCTAATGTGGATATTTCTGGGGAGGCTGTGTGAGCCAGACTTAAAGTTCAGACCTTGAGGCTCAGAGGCTTGGGATGAGCTGGGCTGAGTCTCTCTCCTTGGTTCCGGTGCTTGCTGAATGATGGTTTTCTCTGGATATGCTGTGAGAGTCAGAAAGGACAAAAAGAATAGCAGAGAGAGGTGAGAGCCTTGCTGAACAGTGAAAAGCAAATACTTCCTGAACTCTGATCTCCAACTAGCAATGGATGGCTGTTTGGTTTTTTTTATTCCTTTGCTCTTAAAGGGGTAGCACTCTTTTTTGGATACTGTTTGGTCTCATAGATTAATAATAATAGATTACCCTAAAAAAAATGATTCATTTTTTTATGGTGGCTGTGGAGAGGGTAGCTCCAAATTGCTCTATGCCCTTGACATGGGTTCTTCCCAAGTCCCTACAGGTACACCAGATGGGACCAGATGGGACAGATGGGACAGTTGCTTTTAGCTATCACAAAGCTACCATATAACTGAGTCCAATGGGGACATATGAGCAGATAATTTGCTCTTGATTTGATTAGATTTTTGCTGTCTTTCACCTTCTATAAACACCTGGATGATTCTATACTATTCACAGCTGTTCCTGCTCCAGAGAGTGGTATGGGCTCTTTTCTTCCAGAGAGCTACGAGATGTCTCAGGTCCTATGGGCCTAAGAATCAGTCTCAAAGAGCAGTTAAGTCACATGTCCCATTGATTGCTTTTTCTGGATCTGTTACATTGTCAATAAATACCTGACAAATGAATGAATAAATTATTGCAGGCTGCTATCAGTGGGACAGCCCTGAGTGGGGTTCACACTGTAGTTCAGGGAGCCCTTCCTTCTTCCTCCTTCTTATCTCCTGCAGCCTCCTTTTCTGGGTCTCCCAGATTAGCTGCCCAGACTGACTCAATCTCTCCAGCAAACCACCCAACACTCCTTGCTTCCCCACCCCTATCTCTTTAGAATTTCTCATGAGAGGATGGGAGCTAGTCAAACTCCTTATCCACCCAGATGTCTGATCCTTCATAGAAAGACTTAGGAAGCCGGGGCAAGACTTTATTCTAGCCAAGAGTCGTGGGGAGTGTAGCTATTTCTGCCTATGACCCTTGGAGTGGAGGGCAGATGAGTTAGAAAGTAGCCAGAAGGGTGCACAGATGGCTTGAATTTGGCTGCAGGTGCTAGCCCAGTCAGTGTCTCTTACCCTGAGGCGGAGGCTGGGTTGGAGGTAGTACACGGGAAGCCTGGGGAGTAGTGACTGGTTCCGACTCCTCAGTGGACAGTCCGCTGTCAGCCTCAGTGTCTAAAGAGCCGATGGTCTCTTCCAGAAACAGCAGGCACTCCTTCTCTTCAGCGGACAGGAAGTCGTAACTGCTGTCACTCTGAAAACAAGAGGGAGCTGTGAGAGGGAGCCTAAGGCTCCGCAGAAACTGGTGGGGCCTAAGAACCACCCTGTGGTGGGGAAGGAATGCTGAAGAGCTGGAAACCTCTCCACAGTGCTGCTCTGAGAATCTGCAGGGGTTGCTTCCAGAAACTGCTGTCACCTGAGAAGGGTGGTAGAGGCTTTGTCCTACTAGCACCCAGCTCTGGTAGCAAGAAGGCAAATGACCTTGCTTTTGTTCAGTCCTGAATGGAAAGGTTAGGGGCACAGATCGGAAGCAGTTCCACATTCTAGTCCCGATTTCTCCATATGACCATTGTCAAATATTTCACTTCATTTGTCTCCATTCTAGCTCCAGAATATATAGGCACTACACAAGGGGCTGGCTTGAGTTGGAGTTAGCATGATGGCAGTGGGTTTACAATGCTTTGAGATTAAATTTGAATGCTGTTGCTTTTAATTTTTTCCAAGTATGCTAGCATACTTGATATGGTCTGTCAAGGACAGCATGAGGGCAAACAGGAAATTTGGTCAAGGACTGGCTGTTAGGCCAAAGGGCACAGTGGCATGATTAGCCACCAATACATTTCCTAAATAATTTATACTTGACTTTGAAACACATTCCATATAGGAATTTTTTTTTTTTTTTTGCCCTTGCATATTTGCTTTCTTGATGGCATTTGAGTCTGGCTAACATTCAAATGAGTATGAATTTCTTAAGCAAATATTAACTTAAAGGGGTAGGTGGAGAAACCAGATGGGTACAGGGGGAGGGGAAAGCAACTGAGTTAAATGACCAAGTAGATCATTGTCATTATGAGAAAGCACTTAGAGATATTTGATGGAAAAAGAGATGGCCATCTAAGATGGATACTGCTCCTACTCCACCATTCCAGGAAGAACTTTGGAACAACGGCACCCCAAAGGCTGAAGGGAAACTCATAAAGGAAAATTGGAATATAAGAAATTTGGCCTGCATTCCTGTGTCCCTGCCATTTTCACCCATGTACTTAATAGGAGCTCTGGTAGCATAGTGGTTACGAATCGGGCTGCGGACCTTAAGGTCAGCAGTTCGAAACTACCAGCTGCTCGCGGAAGAAAGATGAGGCTTTCTGCTCCCTTAAAGATTTACAGCCTTGGAAACCCTGTACAGGGTCACTATGAGTCTGTTCCGACTCCATGGCACATAACCACCACCAGTAATATTTGAGACACCTCAGCATGGCATATTCTCTAAATTCACTTAGATGGACTGAAAGGACTACGAGACAGCCCTAAAAATATCCTGGAAGTTAGGAGAGACGGATGTAATAATAACCCCTTCTGGCCCCTTCAAGAGATAGCTGAGACCTACGCCTCAAGTACAGATCTAAGAAGCCCCACAGCAATTAGAGGAGTTCCCTGAAAAAAGATCAGTTTTGAACTGCCTTCTTCTATCAGAAAACCTTTCATCTCTGCCACATTTTGTGTCATTGGTGACTATTTGGGTTGACTTCAGCCTAATAAACTCAAGACAAACAAACTCACTGCCACTCAGTTGATTCCAACTCATAGCAACACTGTATAGGTTATAAATCTTTACAGGAACAGAAAGCCTCATCTTTCTCCCAGAGTATTAAACTGTCAACCTTGCAACGAACAGTCCAGGGCCTATCCTACAGCACTGCCAGGAGCTCTGCTTCAGCCTAATTGTAGTTGTTGCTAAGTACTATCCAGTTGGTTCTGACTCTGTATAGTACAAGGGGTAATTGGTGGTTTTGAACTGCCAACCTTGAAGTTAGCAGGCTAGCACTTATCCTACAGTACCACACTGGGACTCAGCCTATGAGAAAGAGCCAATGTCTTTGTGACCCCATCATTAGGATTAAAAAGAAATGATATGCAGATTGTCTGTTCTTTGGATTATCCATGTGTGTGTATTGCTTTGCCCACTCCATTTTTACAGATTACATTGACTGTATTAAGCATCTTTGACATTCAGTAGAGACCTTTATAATCCTTAAATCTTCAAATCGCTGTATATAATATTAAAATAATAATATGTAAATTCTCAAGGGTTGTTTTGTATGAACAACAAAGAAAAGTCTCAAAGTGGATTTGGGAAGATTTGCTCTTTTATAGTCTTATAATATCTGAGGTTCAAATTCACTCGCAGGAACACTATATTAGCTATCACTCAGAAATAGTTAAACACAGGGATCTTGGAAGACTCTTCATTTGTGCTCATAGGTAGACTATTTCTTTTATACATAAACGTATATGGCAAGAACCTTACGTACTCCTCCCAAAGCTCTATGAATGAGAAATCAATATTATCCCCCATTTTAACAGTAAGGAGATTGAATTGAAGTTTGTTGTTGCTGTTAAGTACTATCAAGTCGGTTCTGACTCATAGCGATCCTGTATAGGGTTTCCAAGACTGTAATCTTTGCAGAGGGAGCAGAAAGTTTCATCTTTCTCTCATGAATCTTGTGGCTAGAAGTCCAGTGCTTATCTTACAGAGCCACCTCGCTCCCAAACTGAAGCTTACAGACAGTGAAGTTATTTGCCTCAGGTCATATCACTTATAAGTGGAGAACCCAGATCTGTTTGACTCACAAACTCTTAATTACACTGCTGTTTTGATCTTTGTAAAACACTGGAGTAATGCTGCTCCTTGTAAAAAAACCAGGAGTCACGTGCTACAAAACCTCCGTCCAGTTTCCACTATAACGTCAAATCACTGCCCTGCCCTCTCATCTCAACTCAACCACCGAACCTAATGAAAATGGGGGAGTCTCATCTGTGCCATCGTACTCTGACGTGGTGCCACCCACCCATTTCTCTATAGAACAAGGGGTGATTCAGAAGAAAGCCCCAGTTAATTCTGTGATTCACTCTCAGAGCCGGAAGATGAAAGAGAAGGTGCAGTGAGGGAGGATGGGTGTGCAGAGAGCAGGCGAGGTTGCAGGCCAGAGTACGTACAGATCCCGAGTGGGCGGAGGTGGTGTTCATGGTACTGTCACAGTTGCCGAGTCTTCGGGTCACGGGTTCCGAGCCCCGCCCCGCTGACCGCAGCTCCCTCTCGGGCATCGCCTGAAGCAAGGTGCAGGAGCGGTGCAAGGGGCTCCCAGAGGGGAAGCGAAGAGAAGCGAAGAATGTCCCAGGCTGGGTCTGAAAAGAGAAGAATCAAAGCCACGAGTGAGCGGAGGCTCTCCCAAAGCTCTGCTCAGGCCCCGGAGCAGCGTGGCGGCAGGGACACCAAGCAAGCAGAGAGCTCCTAGACTTCATGGAAGGACACATAAGCTGGCCCCAATACACGTGGAAGCAAGGGCTCAAGTGTGGAGAGGGAGACTAGTCAGAAAGGAGATTCCATCACTTCTCTTAAGTCTCTTTTTTCTCTGAACCAGTAACCTTAAACCTGCATTATCATCACTATATAGACAATCTAGTTAATAGCTTGGATTCGTGAGGTGGTTGGATTTGAGTTCAAATCTCAACTCAGTCATACACAATTATGCAACTTGAGTCAAATTACTCTTTGAGTCTGTCTTTCCTCCCTCACTGAATAGGTATTGAAAGGTCTGAATGAGAGAACACTTAGTAGAGTTTGTTGTTAAGTACCATCAAGTCCCACTCACAGGGACACTGGATATTGGGTTTCCAAGGAGTCTCTTGAAACCACCAACCTTGAAGTCCAGTACTTATCCTACAGCACCACACCAGGACTCCAGTAAAGTTTAGTTGATAGCAAATATTCAAATACTTAGTGAATAAATGAACAAATACTACTGTCCTGGAGTCCTGCTGTGGCGCTGTGGGTTAATGCGCTGGACTGCAAAGTCGGTTTCAACCTCAAGGTTGGCGGTTCAAGCTCATCAGCCACTCCTTGGAAGCCCTATATAGGTCACTACAGGTCAGAACTGACTCTACAGCACTTAACAGCAACAACTACTGTTCTTATAAAATAAAAAGTTAAGATTCACCTAGGATCAAACTAAATCGAAGTAAAGGAAACAATAGTATAGAAAAGGAAGTTTCTGGTTAAATTGGATAGTATGAACTTGAGGAAGGAATAGGGCCCTTAACAATGTCTACCTTATATGGTTGTCATGCAATACTCCACAACCACGTCATGCATGTCCTAGTTATTGTTAGCTGCTATCAGAATCAGTAAGGAGTCCTGGTGGAACAGCTGATTAATTCAGCCTTGGGCTGCTAACTGAAAGGTCAGTGGATCAAACCCACTAACCACTCTGTGGGAAAAAGATGAGGTGGTCTGCTCCCATAAAGGTCTAAGAAACTGTGTAGAGCAGTTGTCTCCTGTCCTATGGGGTAGCTACACCTTGGAATCCACTTGATGGCAGTATGTTTGTTTTTTATCAGAGTCAACATCAACATCATCACAACAAATCATGACCATAACCAGCTTTACCTCCTAGCCTGGGAGATATAATCATGGCACCAGGAATAGCCAACACAAACTCTATCTCCTTCCTGTGTAGTATCCCCCCATGTTACCGCATTTACTAACAATGAGGTCCCCCAGCCTGTGTCAACCAAACAAGTGAAACATGCAACTCCAAGTCCAAGGGACAAAACGTTTCAAGTTGATTGTGGCAATAGAAGTAGCTTAACAAATTTCAAGGATTTTCATATGTCTGCTTGTGGGAAATATTCCATCAGACTTGGACAGGCCAGAGATGATTGTCCTATGTTTAAATGAAATTCTAAAACAGTTGAGATCAAGAGACATTTCCCAAGTTGAGCAGAAAGCTGAGGCAGTGCTAGTATTAGAACACAGTTTGGCCGAGTTTGAATCCACATTTCCCCACAACATCATGTTACATTTTCTACCATCGCTTCTACCTGCCCTACCACTCCCCTCTCAGTACTAGGTAAAATGTGTTCTATTTGAGATCTGGGGACTTGGGGTATAAACACATGGTCAGGTATCTCTTTGGCTTCTGTCACAATTGTTTCTAGTGCCAAAGTCAGGTTTGGGCTGGGTTGGATGAGTCAACCTACCAAACATACAGAGCTAGCAAGCGCAAGGCCAATGGAGCTCCTCTTGTACTTCAGAGGAGTTACTTAAGTGAGCCTGGTATGGAGGGACAGGGCACGGGAGAAGGAAAAGGGAAGAACCCTAGTAAACCAGACACACTTACTTCATGAAGGTCCAGAACCTATTAGAAGATAGGAGAGGACCAGAGGAGGCAGAGATACTAAAGAACTCTAATGATAAATCAACATCCCATAAGATAGAGGGTTCCCTCCTGAAGCCATCTACTCAGTACCCAGAAATCCAAACATTGCAAGGAATATGAGAGATAAGTCATCCCAGCTTCCTATTTCATTGATGATGAGACTCTTCAGGCTCAGAGAATATGAACCCATTCCTACCATGATATAAGGTTGAGGCATAGAGAAGACATTGAAACGATGCTGAATAAAGAGTCTTGTCATCCATTCTTGTGCCTATTGGAAGGCTTCTTCTTGGCTTCTAAGCTACTACTGCAAACTTTTTCTTAAGTATTTTATTTCCTAGTTAATATGTGACTCAATGAATTTGGACAATGTTTTCAGTTAGACTAACGCTTATGTACATCTGAGAGAAACTAAAGGTATAAAACTGTATTAAGACAAAGGCCTTGTTTTCAAGAAGCCAGTGTAAATACAGTGGTCTAGTTTTCAGCCCTTGTTTGTTTGTTTATCTGTAAAATCAGGAGAGTATGTATTGAAAGTGACTCACCATAATTAATATAATATTCTCTATGAATGGGTGAATCGACGCTGCCTCTTCCTTTCATAGAAAATCACATAGCGTTTTGCTAGTCTATTCTTCCTTCTTCCCAGGGAAACCTGTCCCACTCTTGCTTCAGGGACCCCTCTAAGAGAGCAGGGACCAAAATGACTAGAAGAGATTTTTTTTTAAAACCTATAGGAATAGCTCCTACTTCATAAGAGCATGGCATGCTATCGCTTATAGGTATGCTAATTCAGATTAACTTGTAATATCGGCAAGATGTGACATTTTCTTCATTTTACAGATGAGAAAGCTGGGACTCTTTTCATCACCTCCTCTTCCTAAAGGAATTAGGGAATGACTTTTAACAGTGTGTAACCTGTGGAACCCAGGATTGCAGAAGTCTTCTTAGGGACTGTCCAGATACAAGAGTGGCATTTACCCAAAGAAGTGTCATTGGCTCCCCTGATGAGATACTAGATGCCCTAAAGTCATCCTCTCCTTTTACCTCATAGTTTCAATCCAGTAAATTATCTTGTTTAGCACATGCTGCTCCTAGACTAGTTGATTGTCCCAACAATAGACAGATATTTCCAAAGAGTAGATAAATGACACCCAAATTCCACTGAAGATCATAATCACCACAGAGATGAATCTGGACCTGAAACCAAAGCTGAATGGAATTCATCCCCATACTGAATTTTTTGACCAAAAGAGTTTGAACTATTAAAGAAAAAAGTAAAAAAAAAAAATCTCTTCTTCCCATCCTTCCACCCAGCTTGGCAAGATATGGATGCTGCATTTCTTCCCACCAGCTTTACAACTTTGAAACTTACTTATTATTTCAGGACAACTATCGAAACCTGAGGTGTTTCTACCTGATAAGAAGTCTGAGAATTAAGCAAAACACTCAAGGTGAGAGCTTTGCTATCTTTTAATCCTTGACCTCTTTTGAAGGCTTGAAGGGAGGAGGGAATGGGCTAAGAAATATGCACAGCTAATAGTTAGGGCCACCAATCCAAAAACATATTAAATATTAACTACTCCACTGAACCCTGCCAAGCCTTAGAGGCGGGGAAAGAAATACTCGGCATGTGGAGTTCTGGCATTTGGAAGGGCGGGGTGGGAAGTGGGCTTTAGTCAGATTCCAATTCGGAATCTCAGTTTCTTCTAAACAGTCCCAGATACCCCTTTTATCACTCCTCCTCTGAGCCCACACCTAAGTCCCCCAAGAATTTAGTCTTTCTCAGTATCAAAGACATTTCTCTGACTAGGTATCTGATTTTTACTTACTACCTGAAAATGCACTTTGGGCTGGAAGACATCCTAAGTCAAACACTAGGACCCTCTTTGTGTGCATATGGCAAGTTTCTGTGTGTGTTTAGGCAATGTTATAATCTCTAGTTTCACCACTGGGTTTGAGGGAAGGGATAGGTAGAAAGTCCCTCTGCAGAGCTTTGCTAGGCACTGCACATTAGATTGATGGCTGACAAGATCACCATCTACAGAGAGTGTGAGTGTGAGGGCTGGTTCTGTGGCAGGGCCTGAAGCTCCAATTGTCAGGGTGGTAACTTCATCTATTCACTCCGGGATGATGTGTGTCAGACCCTGGGAGCCTGGCACTGGGTTCTCCCTCTTCCCTCGGCCCTGTGGCAGGAGGAAAAGAAGTAGGGACCAGAGTGTTTACCCCAAGGTGGATAACGGAGAGCTGAGTTTCTACTCTGACTCAATTTTCATAGTCAGCTTCCTTGTGCAGGTAAAACTGCCACACCTACTACCAATTGGGATAGCTGAAGGGAAACCAAGCAAAATCCTTGTTCTCTTCTCTGCAGACTCTACCACCCACCTTGACCTGAGACCTACTTAAAACTCCAGCCAGGCTCAACATGCTGCCATGAAATATTAATGTGGGTGAGGATCCAGCCAGACAGGTAACTTTATGTTTGCCATTGTTTGTATTTATTAACAAAATTGGAAAACTGAATTGAGCCTAAATAAACTTGACTTTGCAATTAGATTATCCATGGGTTTTCCAGTAAGATCTGGTGGTCTGAGTTGGAGTTCTCCTAATGTGACTAAAATTTAACATACCTTACAAACAACCTACCACAGTTCTCACCTCTCACACCTGCCCACAGAGAGCTCTGTTATCACACTACCATGATAGGACACACACACACACTGCACCCTTTATTTAAATAAAGATAGGCATCTAGTTGATAAAGCCATGGAAGAATTTCCTGTTATAAACGTAATGGAGGACCAAGGAAAGAGCATTCGGCTTACTTGGGCCTCTCCCACTTTGACTCCCTCCATCCCTACTTTGTGGGAGTCCTGGTAGTGCAGT